CTGTTCTTGCTCTAAAGCAGCGAGGATTCAGAAGCCACTTTCATCTGTAGGAGGAAAATACAGAAAGTGTCAGAGATAAAAATGGATTTTTGTCATAATGAGCGCTTGTACGTCTCTGAAATCTGCAGACGTTCTGCAGAAATCATGAGAACATTCTGAATCTATTCTAACACATTTAGAATATATAATAGATATATAATACATAATAGATTATCTGCCTGGCCGATTATCGGCACCGATATTAAGCATTTTTATGGTTATCGGTATTGGTCCTTCTAAAAAAACAATTTGCCAATAAAATAATTTAAAAGCATTTAGAGAAAGTTTTTGTCAGGCTCCTTGTTATTCTTAATTTTGACATTCATTTTCATTTTTACACCAGACATATATATCGGTTCAAAATATCGGTTATCGTCTACTTGATCTGTAATAATCGGTATCGGCATCGGCCTCGAAAAACACATATCGGTCGACCCCTACATAACACACACAGTTTCGGCCAATCTCATGTTAATCTTGAGTACCTATAGTGTAGTATTGCACCATTCACATCTCCGTAGAGTCTTTAGTTTTATCAGATTTATAAAGAAAGATACAGCTTACGATTCTCTCCGAAAACAGCCGAGCTTCTGGAGGCGTGCCGTGGGTGGAGCTAAAGAATCCCGAGCACTTACGTGCCGATTGCCAACAAAACACAGACATTTGATGCAGCTTTACTCACCGCCTGCAATTCCTGCTCATGATCGGGATCTTTTATGGCTGGGACCGCTCTATCTTTCAGTATCAAATGATCTGCAAATCCAGCGTCACCGAAATGACAGGAGCAAACACACACGTGCGAAACTCTGTTGCTGTCCCGGAAAAACAAACCGCATCCACTGTTTCCTTAATGCTGGGTTCTTTGGGAAGCTGAACAAGGTTATCTTTCCCTCACATCCAAAAGCACACTTCTTTGAAGACATTCTTCTCGACGACTTCCGTAACCCGAATGAAGCACGTTGATGGGCGCATGCTGTCGCTCTATTTGCTGTATGCACGCGCTGTGCTGGTACAGTTCATTCAGTGCCTCGCTCCTGTTGCTGTTGTTGGAGCTGGGAGGGATGTATACAGCAACGAGCAGTATGGCTGTATATTCCCTCGGTAGATAGAACGGCCGGCACTTAATAATCATAAACTCCACCAGGGGTGAGCAGTGTTTGCAGACCACAACAGCATCGCGGCACCACGCGTCATTGATGTAAACACAAAGCCCTCCGCCGCGGGTCTTACCTCCCTCGACGCGAGCTCTGTCCGCTCGATAGCATGTCAGCTGATCGAGATGAATAGCGCAGTCCGGAACGCTGTTGTTGAGCCATGTTTCCGTGAACACAAAAACACAACAGTCTTCTGCCCGCTTACCCCTCTTCTGCTTCCTCTCACACCGCTTGTGGCGCCTCCGCTGTGGGCGAGATGCAGTAGTGGGGGTCGGTGATGATGTGGGCCTCCGGAGCAGACCGAGATCCCGCAGCTCTTCGGCGTGCGCAGAGTTTAACTCTAAAAATGTGGTTCTGCCGACATCGAGCAAAAACTCACGACTGTATGAGCGCTTAGAGACAGATAGACGCGACGAATACGTACAAAAACACTGCGACTCACAAGACAAAAAACACAAAAACGTCTTTCTGTCGGGAGAGAGAGAAGCCGCAGCGTGTGAACGCGCCGCCATCTTGAGTTCCTTTCCGGTTACGACAGTCGGTTACGACAGTCACTGTGTCAGATTATGCGATTTTGACTCATAAAATCTTGTTGTGTCGTGAACAAGAAACATGTAAGACTATACGATTCTACCCGACCATTCATCGTATGCCGTCATTAACAACGTGCGTGCTGTCATCAATAGCGTGAGACAAGACAGAAGGTGCTATGAGCGTTGTCACGAAATGGGTCTATGAACTTCCATTCACTCACCACCAGAGGTCACCCGCTCACTACATGGACTCTCACACTACACAGACTGTTACACTATACCCTACTACATTTCCCATCATCCATTGCACTGATTGCACACAGCTGTAACCAATCACACGCTCACCTGAAAGCTATTACACACTATATAACACCCACTCAGATCCTGCTGAAGTCGCCGAGTATTGTCTGCGTTTATTGCTCTCCAAGTGAAAGCACTTTACGGAGCCATTTCCCTGTCTTAGTTTCTAGTTCAGCGTTCATAGTTTAGTCTAGTCTTGCCTTGCATTGCCTGGCCTGTTTTCCTGTGTGAAAATCTTTGCCTGTGTATTACGGATTACCCCTTTTGTCTAGCCCTCTGGATTCTGTTTGTCTATCGAAGACCCATGCTTGTCCTAGGATTACTCTTTGTCTTGCCTGTGTTGTACCTGTTTGCCATTGTCTGACCCATGCCTGTTATGACCACGCCTCTTAATAAAAGCATTCAGAAGGTTAAACACTACATATTAACCCTGCACAAGTTTACATGCACTCCCCCCACCATAGTGCAAGTTATTGGACAAAATGAGAAACCAAGATATTATATAATATATGTATATATAAGGCAAAAGCAATCACATTAGTTACAAAAAAAATGAGTGTACTGCACTTTTGTATAATAAAATAAGAATTGAATGCACACGGAAGCACAAAGGTCTGATTCTAAAATTCATAGAATTTTTATTTCATAGAATTCATTCAACATGACCAGACAGAAATGTAAACATCAGAAGGATCTTGAAAGTTTCCAAACTCTCCCCCATCATAATGCAATTTAGTGGTCATAAAACAAGAAACGGATAGAAAGAGGAAAGCAAAAGCACTTGCCAATTTGAAGGAAAATGTGTACATTACTGTATAAGAAAATGAGACGTGAAACAACATTTGTTTTCATGAGAACATGCATATTCCAAGTCATAACGTGACAAACTTTAAATGTGCATTCTAAAAAGTAGTAAAAGGCTCAAAAGAACCTAAAGCTCCTTTAACAAAAAAACTACTTTTTGTGAAAGAGCTTGCTGTGGAGCCCATGAACACATCATGAACATTGGTGGAAGCAGCTGTTCTTCGCAAGTTTTTGCAGAGCCTCAAAGGTGTATTTCATGTGCTTGGGGTAGTGGATGTTCACCACATACAGACCCATCAGGAGTCCAAATGTCTTGGGGACATCGGAGATGTCAGTGATGACAGGATGTCCAAATGAGAGCAATGCTGGTTATTCCTTGGGAAGCACAACACATTGCTGCTCCTCAGTTACAATCAGAATGCCCTTGTCAATTTCTTTCACAACATCCTCAATTTCTCTGTATGGCTGGGAAAACACAAAATATTACATTACTTATTAACTTTATAACAACTGAACACACATATGTACATACACCATTAAAGTTGTGTGTTTTGTTAAACCGACAGCTACCAATAAATGAAAATTGTCATTCACCCTCAAGATATTTTGAAAAATGTTTGTAACCAAACATGAAAGTCAAAAGTCAACGGTGCTCCTCAATTGTTTTGGTTACAAACATTCAAAATAACTTCCTGTATTAAACTGTTAAAAGCCTGTACAAATTTCTTTGTTCTGCTGAACACAAAGACTTTAAAATCCCAATGGGAAAATAAGTGGAAAATACACCTCCGGAACCAACTAGGCTAAAAAAGGGGAAAAATTGTGCATGTTATTTTCTTTACCTTTAATTCTACATGACTTCTGAATGTTATAAAATGTGACAAACCAATACAACGTATGAGATTTTTTCCTTAATCCAATTTTGCCTGCTTGCAATTCAGTCTAATCTGTCCCACCATTTTAATAATGAACTGAAAATATCTTGTGGTAAAGAGATATTCCTTTTAAATAATAGTCTGTTGCACTACATGTTCCAGAGTAAAGCATGACTCTTAAAGGGTTAGTTAACCCAAAAATGCATATTTTACTCACCCTCATGGCATCGTAGGTGTGTATGACTTTCTTCTTTCAGACGAATCCAATTGGATTATATTAAAAATGATCCTTGCTCTTCCAAGCTTTATAATGGCAGTAGGCGGGTGTTTTTTTTCAACAGTCCAAAAGTTGTCAAATAAAGCGCATCCATCCATAATAATAAGTGCCTCACACGGCTCCAGAGGGTGAATAAAGGCCTCCTGTAGCGAATCGATGTGTTTTTGTAAGAAAAATATCCATATTTAAAACATTATAAACACTTTTCTCTCACTTCCGTGAGAGCCGTTCCAGGTGGATGACGTAGGACATAGGCGTCATACATGCACCGGTGATTAGTGACGAACACGGAAGCGCGGAGGAGAGACAGCAAAACAAAACTCCGGTCACGAATTAAAAGCACAAAACGAGGATTTCGATATAAGCCAAGAGGAGACTGGTTTTCCTTTGCTAAAGTAAGAAAACTTTGTTTCCATTGCTCCTGTAAACAAACTTGCGAGAGTAGCATATCTCACAGGCACGTGCGCTGCGCATACGTCCTGCATCATCCGCCGGAATGACTTGCACATACCACAGTCAGTAATATGGATGGATGCACTTTATTTGACTACTTTTGGACTGTTGAAAAAAAAAAAACACCTGCCTACTGCCATTATAAAGTTTGGAAGAGCCAGGACAATTTTTAATTGAACTCAGATAGGATTCGTCTGAAAGAAGAAAGTCATATACACCTCGGATGCCTTGAGGGTGAGTAAATCATGGGCTAATTTTCATTTTTGGGTGAACTAACCCTTTAAGCAAAGTTGCTAATGGCCAATATGCCAGCACTGCTATGAACCTGAACATTTTCAGAATTCACAACAGCATTCAGCAAAATAATCAAAAATGGCGATGTCCATAAACAGGGTTTCTGCTGGTTTTATGAAGATAAATTCAAGACTTTATAAAGACCTTTTAAATACTAATTATAGAAAATTCAAGGAATAAACAAGGGAAAATAATACGTCAAATTATGTACCCTAAATTTTGAAGCTGTTTCCCAATGCAAATATCTAAATATTCTTAAACTCTACAATGTGAATGTAATTTCCATTATGTCTGCATAGCATTTTGATGGATACAACTGCAAAAGGACTGGCTGCAGTCCATCCACAAGATTATGATCTTCAGTCATTCCAAAATATCATAAACATGAAAAATACAGAAACACGTTAAAACACTGTAAAATAATAAACATATATATATAAATAAATCTTTACAGAGAAAGTCAAATGTCTTGACAAGTTTGTTTTAAGTACCAAAGTACTAAACTTTACAATCCAGATGAGGCTTTTAAATTACACAACACAGAATTATAACAAAATAAAAGGAAATTTAACACATTAGTGCCTATCGTTATTGTATGGCTATTTATACAAGATATAGCTACACTATTATTACTGTTATTCAAAAACTTATAGTTTTGAACGCATGCAATATACTTATGACCGTATATTCACGCAGCATTACAATGGGTTCTGGTGAGGCACTTGAATGACTACTTCAGAAAACTGAAAGAAGAGTTTGTAACGTTACCTTAAGAACTTCATCTGAACCAAGCTTATGTCAGCAATATCAAATGTAATGTAAGTTATGCGCTCCAAAAGAACTCTTATGGAGGTGCTCATTCGTTTCCTTTATAACATGCAGAAAAGAGACAGTTCGAGTAGCAATCTTGTTTTTCCCCTATTTTTTCATCTATATATATTCTGACGGATGTCTTTACGGATTATAAGAAGCTGTCAGGTTTAACACTAGAACCACCAGGGGTCGCTGTATACCTAAAATCTTTTACCCAAAAAATTTGACCCACGCACATGACAGCTGTTTTTGAATGGCTAAAGAACATATTATTTCACTGTATTATGCTACTGTCTTTACAAAGAAGTGTCTAGAGTCATGAAATGATTATGTCTAGTCATCAACTATATTTTTGTCCTGTTGTTTTATGTTCAAGGCTACATCAGATCGGATTTCTTTTCTTCATGAAACAGGCAGACTAGAATACATAGCAACACAGAAGCAAACAATAAACGATAGAAATGGCAAAACAAAAATTAAATAATTAATCCAATTATGAGTAACATTAGGATAAAACGTCTAAATATGATATATTGATCGCCGTCAGATGCTGAGCCGACAGGACGCTTTACTTATCTCCCCACCATCAGAGTCAATCGCTCATGGCATTTAGTGCTTATAGCCTACCTCTTCAGCATTCATAAATCGCCTTTTTTTTACTCATTTTGTCTTTATTTATTAAACTGACAACCGCTAATTCAGTGAGTGAAAGGCGTTGCCTAGCAATGTACTATGATAAAACGTAAGCGACACGAAAATGACAGCGCGAACATACAGGCATTATATAGCGGGTAAATTTGACCCGCGCTGGCGCGTATAGGTATAAATGCCCCGTTTTTTGATCTGGTTTTATCTAAACAGTTTTTAAAGGGGTCATATGATGCGATTTCAATTTTTTCCTTTCTCTTTGGAGTGTTACAAGCTCTTGGTGCATAAAGAAGATCTGTAAAGTTGCAAAGACTAAAGTCTCAAATCCAAAGAGATATTCTTTATATTCTTTAAGGCTGTGCATGGGCTATCACCTGACTATGCTACTGATTTAATTAGTGTCTGTCAATCCAGCAGATCTCTGCGCTCAAATGAACAACTACTCCTAATGGTTCCGCGATCTCGTCTAAAATGTAGAGGGGATCGTGCTTTCTCTGTGGCAGCTCCTAGGCTCTGGAATGCCCTTCCTCTGTCTATTAGAACTTCTCCAACTTTGGGTGTTTTTCAGAGTTCGCTTAAAACTCATTTGTTTTCTCTAGCTTTTGACAATGTTTTTTAGCTGTGTATGATATTTGTTGTTACTATTATTATTTATTTATTTTTCTTTTTTCTTTTCTTTTACTATTATTATTTTTTAATTTGTTTTTATATTATTTATTTATTTATTTTCTCTTATCTTTCTCTGTATAGCACTTTGGTTCCAGTCGTGGTGTTGAAAGTGCTTTATAAATAAAGTTTGAGTTGAGAGTTGAGTTGAGTGGGCTAAACTCAGGAACAGGGGCCCTCCGTGGGCTAAACTCAGGAACAGGAGCCCTCTGTGGGCTAGACTCAGGAACTGGAGCCCTCTTTGGGCTGGATTCGGGGGCTGGAGCCGACACTGGAGCGAGCTCTGGGACTGGA